ACACACACACACACACACACACACACACACACACACACACACACACAGAAATATAAGCCTACTTACTTGTGCCTGACCGCCCCTGTTGTCTTGATCTTCCTGAAGGTGTCAGGTCTCCTTGGAGCCCTGCAAACTGCCCCCTCACATGGCTTTTCCTGCCATTGAGCCAAAATGGCCAACATGTCAGCTAGTACCACAGTTGCCTCCCACTCTGTTGGGGGCCAGCCATTCCGTTCCCCGTGCCTACTGAGATTCTAAATCCATAAGGGGACAAAATGGACTCTAATAGGACAGAAAATATGTAAACTCAACATTTGTGGAAGGGGATATGAATAACTGCCCAGACTAGACCCACTCGGGGCAATCAAGGAATATGAGATGTGTTTTCCCATAATTGTTTCCTTACCTTTTACTCTCTTTTTTATAGAGCATTTCAGCAGGCTCAGACATTCCCGTCTACCCCACTTAAGAAGATATACTTGTGGGGCACCTGGGTGGCTCAGTCGGTTAAGCATCTGACTTGGGTGCAGGTCATGATCTCAGGGTCCTGGGATCGAGCCCCGTGTTGGGCTCCACATCAGCAAGGAGTCTGCTTGTCTCTTTCCCTTTCTCTCCGCCCGTCGCCTTGCTTGTACTCACTCTCTCTCAAATAAAATCTTTTAAATAAAGAAGATATACTCATATCTGAATGCCCTTTCCCATCATCAATTACTACTGACTAATAATAATAATAATGGCTAGTGCCCATGTAGAGCTTACTATATCCAGGCACTGTTCTAAGCATTTTATTTGTTAAATTTTTAAAGATTTTTCTTAATTTATTTGAGAGAGAGAGTGAGAGAGAGCACAAGCAGGGTAAAGGGCAGAGGGAGAAGCAGACACCTCGCTGAGCAGGGAGCCTGATGTGGGACTCGTTTCCGGGACTCTGGAATCATGACCTGAGCCAAAGGGAGACGCTTAACCGACTGAGCCCCCCAGGCGCCCTAAGCATTTTATTTTAAAAACTTCTTTTTACCCTCACAAAAATCCTATGAAGTAAGGATGACCGTTATCGCCATTTTACAGATGTAGAAATTGAACATTTTACTTTAAAATCTTTTGGATTTTACATGCCCAAATCCTAGCTCTGTTCAAGGTCTGTCTCAAATACTACGCCCTTCAGGAAGCCTCTCTGAGATAGTGGCTGAGCCCAGTAGCTTTAGAATCTGACTATGGGGTTGGATGAAATCCCGTCACTGGCTGTGTGAAATCGGGCATATTATTCCATTCCCTCATCTACACAACGGGGATAATTGTACCTACCTTCCTTCCGTGACTGTTAGGAAGTCTGAATAAGATGGCATGAGTAGGACCTTGACAACAGGTCCTAGCACATAACAAGAACTCAAAAGTTTGTTATTATTTTATCAGTTAGTAGTGACTCCTTTTCTCCTCTAAACTCCTTTATGGCCCCAATCACTCCATCCCTCACCCAGTATTACAGCTTATGTGGGCAGATGTAATATTTTTCTTATTTTATATCCCCACAATGAACTACAGTGTGTTGAATGTTGTGGGTACCAGCTGCATGCTGAATTTGGTTAATGGTTGCCAATACACTTAAGCTGATTTAAAAAGCAAATACTTTATGTAAGTTTGTTTTTACATTTGCTCCTTCTTCTTGAAAGTGAAGTACAGCAAAATATAATTCCAACTATTTCAGAATAGTTGATTAGTTGGGATGTGAGTAATAAAATGACATCTACATAACCAAAATCATTTTATTTCTTTATAGTATTTATCCATGTCAATTCTATTGCATATAGTTAGGTTATTTGTATTTTCAAGTCACTTGATTTATGTTAGAAATGTATTGTTCTATACCTGGCTTTTTAATTTTACTTTTATTTATTTTATTTTAGGTTTACTAAAAATGTGACAGAAATTAATTCATTTATGACAGTGATCAAAGTACATATTCTATTAATTCTGAAAAAGGTATCAATTTGAACTCAATTTAGACTTTCAAAAAATCTCTGTTGCTCAACACTATTCTCTAGAACACACTTTATAAACTGCTTCTGTCAAAGATGGCTAGATTAATGAATAACCTCAGAACATAGACCCCACATGTTTAAAGTAGTTCAATTTATACAGGGAATTGGCGTGAGAAGAGCTCCCTCTATTGGACTTAGGAGTCCATGAAAAAATGTTGCTGTTGTCAGTTTGCTGGAGACTCATGTAGCTGGACATCCCTGCTGAGGAGAGCTCTCTGGATTCTAATGCCCCTTCCATCCAGTTCATCCATCACAACAACCTCGACCTCATCCTCTGCTCTAGCCCTTTAAATCCACTTTCAACCCTTTTCCCTGGGCCCATGTTTTGCCCACCATCCCTTACGTATTTCTATCAGCTTCCTTTGAAAGGAGCATCACACTCAATCTTTTTGCCCACCAGAATGAAATACATACATGCAAGATGTCCTCCATCATGTCTCCGACTCCATGGATTCTGATATATGCAATTACACAAGCTCATACTTACCTTTACCAGGCTTGTCAACCTCTCAAGCTCTTATGTCCAATCTCTCATTAGATCCCTCTCTCATCTATCTCTGCTCACCTACCATCCTCCAAAACGTCTCTAAGGTAAAATGATTTGTTTTTAAAGATTGTATTTATTTATTTGACAGAGAGAGACACAGCGAGAGAGGGAACACAAGCCGGGGGAGTGGGAGAGGGAGAAGCAGGCTTCCCGCTGATGCGGGGCTCGATCCCAGGACCCTGGGATCATGACCTGAGCTGAAGGCAGACGCTTAACGACTGAGCCACCCAGGCGCCCCGGTAAAATTAATTTTGATGAAAATATGTTATATGCATTAGAAAATGTGCTGCAAACAGCTTCTAAACCTCATCCCATATTCTATGTACTTTCTTCCTGAGAAGGTTTTCAAGTTGGAAATTTGGGAAAATTCAATTTGGGGAAGTATCTTGGTCTAATGCAACATTATAGCAAAATTAATTTAAAAAATCAAACTGCAAAATTAATTTAAAAGATCAAATCCCAACACACTTTTCATTGGCTTAATGAAATACAATATTCATGCTATGAGTAAGGTTTCTTCTTAAGGTTCTTTTCTCCATTCATATATAGCCTTATTTTCCCCAGTCACTAGACCCAGAAGAGTGATTAGAAGAGTGATTTTCAAAGTGTGGGGGTTTCCAATACTCTGTCAGTGTGTCTTCAGAGTCAAAACTATTTTCATAAAACCAAAATTATGTGCCTTTTTCACTCACAGGTGTACAGTAAGTTTTACCAACATCATCACTCCCATGTGTAATGACATCATCACTCCCATGGCTAATGGAATATATAGTGAGTATTCTTGGGTTTTCTATACCTTTCTAAGGTAGTTGATTTGGGGTATACACATATGTACATTTTCAGAGACTGTTCTCAGTACTTCTGTGCTCTTAACATGCTTTTTTCTGTTTTACCTGCTATAATCTCTATAATTGTATTATCATTCATTAACTCATTGTGAAAGCCCAAAGTTTTCCCTACACCTATGTGAAAACACAAGAAGTACATTTTGTTAAATTGTTTTGCAATAATGTTTAAAATTTCTCTTATTTTAAATTTCTAATATGATAAATACTGATAGATATAATCTACAAACATAAAAGTTCTTTGCATCCTAAATAATTTTTAAGAGTGAAAAGGGGTTCTTAGACCAAAAAATGTTAGAAAACCACTGCATTACAAAATAATGCTCACCGGGTGATGTCAGGAAGTGTTGAATCAATCACTATATTGTACACCAAAAACTAATATTACACTGTACGTTAACTAACTGGAATTTAAATTTAAAATTTTATTTAAAAAGAAAATAATGCTATTTCCTGAGGAGATCATATTTCTTGGTTAATTTTCTATATCCAGCAGGCAATAATAATAAATGGAAATTATAATTAGGAATAATAGTACAAATTTTTGACGCCAGGCACCTGGTTAGGGGCTTTATATATATCAAATCTTCATAACTATCTTATAGGGCAAGTATGGTTATCCTTGTTACAGATCAGAGAACTGAGGTTAGGGGCGCCTGGGTGGCTCAGTTTTTAAGTGAATGCCTTTGGCTCAGGTCCTGATCCCCTGGGATCCAGCCTGGTGTCGGCTCCCTGCTCCGCAGGGAGCCTGCTTTTCCCTCTCCCACTCCCCCTGCTTGTGTTCCCTCTCTCGCTGTCCCTCTCTCTCTGTCAAATAAATAAATAAAGTCTTTTTAAAAAATAAAGAAAAGAAAACTGAAGTCAGAAAAGATAAATAAGCCACTATCACAGCTAGTAAGTGATAAAGGCTCATTCAAACCCATGTATTATGCTAAAGCCCTTATCTTTTCTAGAAAGTTTTAGTGAAGAATGCTGTCTGAGTTTCGTATCCTTGGAACATGACAGTTTTTTATAAAATCATTTTCAAATCCATTATTTCCTTCCATCCTCACAATCCCTTATAAGTTAGTTATTCAAGTCCCCTAAGAGACATGTCCAAACGCAATACTCTCGTTATTATACTCTATTATGCTCTTTTCTGCATTAGTATTACGAAGACACTCAAACTGAGGACATAATATCCATGCATTTGGCTACTGTCTGCTTTTACACAGCATAGGTGAGTAAGGCTATGAGTTTAGAGCAGGGGTATGCAAACATTCTCTGTAAAGAGCCCAAGAGTAAATATTTTAAGTTTTATAGATCAAGAGACAAATGGTATTTGGTAGGTACTTTTATAACAAGAGAGAAAACACATTTTCACAACTTTCATTGGTGAAATTTAAAATGTAATAACAATTAAGTACTTTGGGGGTAATTCATGTCTACTATGGAGAAAAATCAAAGTCTTTTTTTTTCTTGGAATAGTATTTGAGCTAGTTGGAGTTTAGAGTTCCTGTGCACTATCATCAAACTGATTTCAAAATCAGTTCATTTGCAAAAACTCTTCTTAATTCCACCCACTGTACAAAAACAACAGCAGGATGGATTTGGACTGTGGGCTGTGGTTTGCCAACTCCTGCCCTAGAATGTGGTTCTCGCAGATGGGATCCCTGGACCAGCAGCTTTCACCTTAACTAGGAACTTGTTAAGAATAAGAATTCTTCAAAAACATCTGAACCAGAAACTCGGGGGGTGGGGGTGGGGCAGCCATCTGTGTTTTTAAAAGCCCTGCTGATGATTCCCAGCAGGCTAAAGTTTGAGAACCACTGCTAAATATCTGTGCCCATATCTTCTCTATTCATATAGATTTATTTATTCATTTTTGGGAATTCTGATCTTAACCCTGCATGATGATGCCACAGACAACTCTTTTCCCACACATTAAGGCCTTCGTTTAAGGACAATCACATTATATTTCACCTTTATGCAATCTTGAAAGTAACATCCAAAATTGCTGCATTGCCATAGGAAACTTAACATTCCTATTCACAGAAGTCTCAGCGTTCAAAGGCACTGAATTGGCAGTGAATTGATTTAAATGTTGTTCGTGTTGAACAAGTACACTGGGCCTGGGGGAGAGAAGCAACCCTCAGAAAGTCTTCTCAGCGTCAGCCGCTGCCAGAAGTCTCGGCCGGGATCCCAGGGGGAAATGCCTTCAAAACGACTGGGTAATTCCATCTCCACCACCACCCCCGTTAGTAAACTGAAACCCGAGATAATGACTTTCGTGTCACCTCGCTTGCCAAGACAGACACAAGACCTGTCAAGGCAGGTTATCCAAACGACACCACTGGCTGAACCGTACCTACACCCCTGCCTGTCCAGACAGCCTCTCCGCCTCTGTCGCCACCATCCTCCGCGGCCGCAGCACCAAGAACAGCAGCCGCCACGCCTCCAAGTTTCCGTACGAGTTTTTAAAAACTAAATCTCCTTTTAGTCTCTCACCTGTGCAAATCACCCTCGCATGAGTACACCTTCCCTTACTCTCTTCCCACGCCAGCACCTGGGGAAAAACGACCAGGTGCATTAGCCCATATCTGATGCCATTAAAATCATCGGCAAGTCTAAGAAATAAAACGTTACCTAGCCACCGGGAAAGAAGGGACTCGTACTGCCAAGGAGCAACCAAATTCTGCTCCTCGAAATTCTGAGGCGTAAAAACAACCCCGAGATCTTCCCAGAGGGAAGAAGAGAGGAGGGGGTGCTGCTAACCGGAGAGGTTTTGCGGGGCTAGGAAGACACCATCAGACTCGGTCTCTCCCTTCCCTGTTCGGGCTCAACAAACTCGGTTCCATGTCCTCGGGGCTGTGGAGGTAACCAGCTGTGGGGAGCGCCACAACAAACCGTCCTGGCCCAGGGCGCAGCTCCTCCTGCTCGGCGTCCAGCACGCTCCCCCCTTCCCTCCCGCACCCGCCGCCGGCCACGCTCCAGTGCCCCCAGCCGCCTCGGCGCGAAGAGACTCACTATTAAAGGCAGGGAGCACATGGTGAAGAGCACGGTCATGAGGGCCAGCAGCAGCAGATGGTCCAGCTCCTCCAGGGGCTGCGCGGCCGCCTCCCTCTCGTCGGCGCCCGGCTCCGCGCGGTCGCGAGGTCCGGAGCGCGGGCGCCGCCGGAGCCGCCGGTGCATCGCGTAGAGGTTGCGCATGGCGCTCAAGTTGCACAGCACGATGGCGAGGACCAGCAGTGCCATGAGGCTGGCGTAGAGCACTGAGTAGCCCAGCACCGACAACGAGCGCTCCTCGTGCACCATCTGGATGAAGCACCAGGTGCCGGGACAGTACTGCACGAACTTCCCGAAGCCCGCTAGGGGCAGCGCGCAGAAAGCCAGGCAGAAGGCGCCCACGACCGGCGCCACGAGCGCGCCGCGGCGCAGGGTGAAGTGCCGTCGGTAGAAAAAGGGGTGCCCCAAGGACAGCCAGCACTCCAGGGCCATGGCCAGGAGCTGCAACGTCGAGGCGAGCCCAAAGAAAGACATGAAGAAGGCGAAGGCTTGGCACAGCGAGCTGCCCGACGCGGGCGCCAGTCCCCACAGGCTCCGGTTCTGCGCGTAGGCGGCCAGCACGAAGGGGCTCACGAGGGATTTGCCCAGCAAGTCTGTGACCGTCAGGCCGCACACTAGCACGTAGAAGACCGAGGGCGGCGGGCGCGGCGGGCACGACCCCAGCCCCGAGCGCGCCAGCAGCCCCAGGGCCAGCAGGTTGCCCAGGAGGCCGGCGCTGAAGAGCACCCCGCCCATCGTCGCCGAGTTGCCCTTCTCCACCGAGGTGGTGTTGTGGCAGCGGTAGAGCGGCGGCCGCATGGCGGGCGGCTCAGCGGGCAGGAGCGCGGCTGCGGGAGGGCCAGGGCCCCGGCGTCTGCGTATGGGAACCCCCGGCGGCTCCGGACGAGAGGCTGCGCCGCAGAGGCAGCTCCGCTGGCACGGGGGTGTGAAGCACGGCAGGCGCCTCCTTTCTAAACTCTCGGGTCACACCCCGCCTCTCGGGGCGGGCCGCGCGGCCGAGTGCGCACCCCGCGCTACCATTGCGGAGCCCCCAGCAGCCGCGCAAAGATCCCCGCGCTGACCCGCGGGCCCTGAGGAGAGTCGAGCCCTCGCGCCCACCGTCGGAAAGAAAGAAACGTAGCCAGAGCCTGAGCACCCAAGGCCTGTCCTTCCTACGAGGCAAGAGAACTGCTGAAGTGGAGGGGAGATTAAGCCGCAGCCACTAGGGAGGAGAGGGGCGTGAGGAGGCGGTGGTGGCGGCGGAACTCTTGAGAGACGCACGGAGGGGAGGCTGAGAAAAACCACTGGTTTCTGAATTCGTGGGGGTAAGGAGGGGTACAGCTAACTCACATTTGCATAATACTTAAGCCTGAGCGCACGCAGAGTCTTGCAGGTCCTTGCAAGCTGAACAATGATCTTTATTGTATGCGTGAAGAAAGTGAGACCTCGGGCAGGTAAGCTGTCTTTGCCCAAGGTGACAGAGCCAGTAAGTGGCGGAAGTGGACCTGGAACCGGGATCTTGTATTTATAGAGTCCATCGGTCTTGCTTCCATACCTTCTCCTCTGGAGAGGTTGGCTAGATTTCAGGGAAGTGGCTCCAGGACAAACCAAGAAGAGATGCTAGCCTTGGGTACCATGAATCACAGTGGTTGTGTGTAGACTGTGGGAGGAGTATGGTTAAGAGCACTAATGCTGTTATCGTATAGACGTGGTTCGAGCCCTGATTCTGCCGTCCACTCGCTGCTTTTGTGAGCCTGAGGGCCTTGCTTAACTTCTCAAGAAGTAACCTCTAGCCAGCCTGCTTGGCTCTTCTGAGGTGTAGGGATCACATTTGTGACAATGCAATTGTCAGGATTCTCACCTGTTTTAGTAGCAGAAGTTTAACTGCAGTTTTTAGCATGGATTTTGAAACCAGAAAACAGTAGACTTGATTTAGAGCTTTCTCTGTTTTGTGACTAGTAGAAAACATTGGTTCCCTTCTGGCCTTTAACTTGCCTGCTTCATAGAGGCAAGGACGTTCACGCTAGTAAGTGTGATTTCTTTCTATAACCCTTGAAAAGGTGGGAGAGCAACTGGCTTTGAGTGTGGAATTTGAGTGGGATTGATTACTGGGACCATATTACACAAGCAAGTAGATTATGCTTGGCTTCAAGAAGCTCATTCTTAGGCTCAGTGCCTGTTTTAATGGATAGACTCAGGGGGAGAGAGCAAGACTCTTGAACTTTCGATGTAAAGCCAGAGAAGCTGCCTCCGGACTGAAAGTGTGGTCAGAAATTCAGGCCATGGGATAGAAATGAAGAGTCCAGGCTTTGGAATTGGATAGTTCTGGAATTGGATAGCTGTGGCCCTGGTTTAGTTTACTCAATTTCTCCTAGTAAATCTCCTTGCAAATAGGATATGGGATTTATGCTGACCTCCTAGGGTTGCTGTGAAGTTGCAAAAACCCATTGTGTTTGGCAGAGAGTAATAATATCAACAATAATAATAACAATTAACATTTATGGGTCTTTATACATGCTAGGCACTTTCAAATCCTTTCACATCTGTTGATTCAGTTAATAGAAGGCCTTCCACGGGGTGAGTTCCCTTGTCATCCACCGTCTCCCACTCATCTCCACCTCCAGCCCTTAATGAAGAATGAGGGGTTTGGAGGAGCACCACCTGAGTTGATGAAGTGGAAGAAGGAGCAGGCTTTAAAACCAAGACACAAAATCTGATGACATCTGAGGTCTCCTTTCCAGACAAACAGACACACACACACGCACACACATACATACAAGCACAAACACTCACAGTTTACACTAATTACAGTGTGTTACCAGTTTCCTGAAGTCCCACTGTGGTGCCCGGAGGAGGCCCAATGGACTAGCTTAAGAAACCTCCTCTAAGGACATTGTCCCGGAGTGTTCTCTGAAGCATACCTACTCCAGTCCTTTGCAGCCTTGTTGTTCTGTTACAGCTGCCTTCACCTCTGTACCCCTTCTAAGATTCATGCAGGGAGAGAGGAGCCCACAAATGTAAGCAACTTTTTCGAAACAATTCCCAAGAGTGACAGAAGGGAGAGCTGTGATCCTTGACAGTGTTTATATATGTCATGCCTCAAAGGTTGATGGCTTTGCATGTGTACAATTCAGGAAACCACGTTTCCTCCTGGCTAACATAGCTGGCTTTTAGCATGGGGTTTCCGGCTGCTTCCCTGCCCACTTCGCTCCTGTTCACCCTGCTCAGTTCTCAGGCTGAACTTCAGAGTCTCCTAAGAATTCTGATTTTACAAACTTACTGTTCGGCCAAGAAAAGTGTAATTTGTTCATGCATCATGCACTTTTTGAGCTCTTACTTTGGTGCCAAGCATGGCAGTAAGGGATGTGGGGACTGAGCAGTGCACAGCAAATAAAGGAAGGCAGATGTCATGTCCTGTGAATTTTACATGGTTACAGATTTTTATATCAGTTTTCAGAGTAATAAGGCTAAACTTTTTTTTTTTCCGGTAAGAGGAAAATTTGTAATGAAAATATCTTGGGCCCAATTATATAGTAAATTATCTTCATTATTTGCAGAGCTGTACTTGTCAGCTTAATTGGCTTAAAAACAGTCTGGACAAATATGCATGGCATAATGTGAATAGACAAATCTGAATATATAATTATGATTTTGTAGTTATAAAAACGGTATATGCTCATGAACAAGACCTAGAAGTTGACATAGGCACAGGAAACATTGACATAAACTTGAGAAGGGATGGTAGAAAAATTTCTTTTTGGCTTTCTGATAAATCCAATGTAGTATCTGTAATAGTTATCTCAAAAGACTTAAGCAAAAGTCAAGTGTATGCCCACGGCCCGGTTTTAGGAAGGGGAGGAGAAGGAAAAGAATAGTTTTTCCAAGGTCCTTCTTGACTCCGCTTCTAAATCTTAGCCATCTCTCGCTCCTAATGAGCTGCAAGCAATATTTCAGGTTGTGGTTTGTGAAAAGCAGGGAATGGAGAAGAGGAAAGCTAAAAAGCAAAGAACATATCAGCTACCAATTTTGAAGTATCTCCTGCACGCTCAGTCCATGCTGGAAGAAGGTTCTTTACATT